GCGGTCGGTCGGACGTGCAGGTGTGCAGCTCAGAGGCTGTCTGGGGCTGGGGCTTCGTCCAGGGGTCTCGGGAAGGGGGAGGCCGCTCAGATGCGGGGCACGTGGGAAGGCAGGGCGGCGGCAGTCCCCTCCCTTCTCTGGCCTCTCCTTGATGGGGCCAGACATCGTGGACATCAAGCCCGCCAACATGGAGGACCTCACGGAGGTGATCACGGCGTCTGAGTTCCACCCCCACCACTGCAACCTCTTCGTCTACAGCAGCAGCAAGGGCTCCCTGCGTCTCTGCGACATGCGTGCGGCCGCCCTGTGTGACAAGCACTCCAAACGTAAGTGCCCGTTCCCCCCGGGGACCTGGTGGGCAGTGGGGGCGGCGGGGCTGTGCCCGGGGCGGGTGGGAAGGGTGCAGGCTGGGGGCCCGTGGGCTCCGTGCTGCTGTCGTGCCGCTGGCAGGGGGAGCCTGGTCTTGCCCCCCCCCACCGCCTTCCAAGTCCCTGCACAGGCTGGGGCTGCCCAGCTTCCAGGGACCGGGCAGCTGAAACCAGGGTCGGGGAGCGAGCTGGGAGCCAGAAGCTAAGGTGGACCCTACTCAGCTGGCACTTCCTCTGGGAAGCCTTCGCTGACCCCCCTACATTGGTTCAGGCCCCTTCTCTGTGTCCCCAGAGCTCCCAAAGCTTCCCTTTCACAGACTAGCCACAGCCTGCAGAACTTTCTGTGGGCTGGGCCGTCTACCCCAGCAGCCTGTGTGCTCCACAAGGTCACTTCCTCAGGCTGGAACCCTGACAGGGCCAGCCAGGGGGGATGCCAGGGGGGGTGCCGTGGGGGTCCGGGGCTGAACAAGGTCCGAGGAGCACGATGTGACAACCACCAGGACCACACAGTGGCTGACACTCCTTGGATACTCTGAGCCAGGCACCCAGACAGCTCTCTACCCACATCGTCTCGTCTTTACATGAGCTCTGATGGAGTCCAGCACAGAGGAGGGAGCTGAGGCTCCAGGGATGGGCCCAAGGTCACCCGAAGTGAAAAGCGGCAGGGCAGGACCTGAACCCAGGACTCTGAGATGCCCTGGCTGGTGCTCTCACCTCCAGCCTGGCCTGCTTGGTGCTGGGTTCCCCAGAGGCCCCTAAAGGCAGAGAGGATCAGGGGGTCAGGCCATGGTATCCTCCCTGGGTGACCTTGCAGTGGTAGCAGAGGGGCAGGGACAGGCAGGACCCCAGTCAGGAGGGTGGGGACTTTGGTTCATCTCTGTATTTACCTCAACAGTGTCTGGGAATAAACACTTGCTGAGTGGATGAATGAATGAATGAGTGAATGGATGAATAATGAATGAATGAGTGAATGAGTGAGTGAGTGAGTGAGTGAAAGAGTGAGTGACCAGTAAGCCCCTGGAGGTGGTTTCATTAGAGTTCTGTTAGGAGGGACTGGGTCACCTCTTCCCCTCGGGAGCCTGGTTTCCCGGGGCAGCCGGAGAGGGCGGCCCCTCCCCACGCCTTGGCCAGGCTGGGTCCCTACGTCTCGCCACACTGCTGTTCTCCGAGCACGTCCACGCCCCGCAGACACTCGGCCCCAGGAACACCTTCTCCCCGGCGCTGAGCCTTCCTCCTCCTGGGGGCTGAGTGGCCAGCGCAGGTCGGGGGGGACAGCAGATGTCCGTCTCTGAGCAGAGCTGGGGACACCGCCTGCTATGCTGCACACACGTCCCGCTGTGACGGCACGGCAGGAACCAGCAAACAGACGAAGAACTCACCACCGGGTGGTGCAATGGCAGGAGGTAGTAAGGGACATCAGCAACAGCCCCCAAAGAGCAGGGCGCAGGGAGGTCATCTCACCGGAAGTTACAACAGAACAGACACCTCGAGGTGCCGGGGAGTGAGCCATGCAAGCTCTGGGCGGAGAATGTTCTAGAAGGGGGACACTTCAGGGGCAGAGGCTCCGAGATGGAAGGGCACCAGCGTTGTCGGAGGGCGGTGACTAAGGGGAGGGGTGTCGGGAGCTGAGGTCCGGGAGACACGCAAGGCGGGTAACTCAGGACGCCTGTGGGTCGGGGGAAGGATCCGGTTTCGTCTTAAGGGAGGTGAGAAAGCAGCAGAGGGGTGAGGGCCGGGCATGAAGTCACGAGACAGGTGTTTGAAAAGAGGAAACCTGAGGGGTCAACGTGGAAGCGGGGGCAGGAGGAGGCCCTGCCCGGGGCTCACTGAGAAGAAGCAGCGGGCCCCGGGGGGGATGACGAAGGTGTGGAGACGGGTCCCGTCCTGGGCGTTCTCGGAAGGCTGAGCTGACGGGCTTTGCCAAGTGCGGTGTGGACCACGGCAGCTCCGTCCGAGGGTTGGTTTGTGCAGCGGGTGAAGGCGGGGCCCTTTCCTGGACGGACAGTGAGGACACTGGGGTGGGGGGCAGGGTGGCCGGGAGCAGAGACGGGACCGACAGGTGGGTTTTGGACCCAGTAAGTGTGAGATCGTATTGGGCCCCGGGGAGGGCTGTCGGGAAGGCAGCCGGAGGTCTGCAGTCAGGGGCGGCGGCTGGCCACAGATAAAGGTGTGGAGTCATCAGTGTACGGATGGATGGGAAGCCCCGGGGCCAGCTAAGACGCCCAGGGCGTGAGTGTGGACGGTGCCCAGCCCCTGAAGAGCAGCCCAGGGCCAAAACAGACGACCACAGGCTCCGTGGCTTAAAACAACGCAGATTTGTTCTCCGACGGTTCTGCAGTTCAAAAGTCTGACATGGGTCTTACCAGATAAAAAAAATCAAGGTGTCGACAGGCCGGTTCCTTCTGGAGGCTCCACGGGGGAAATGCATACCTTCCTTTCTCCAGCTTCTGGGGGCACCTGCATCACTTGGCTCGTGGCCCCTCCCTCCATCTGCATAGCCAGCAGCGGCTACGGGCTCTTAATCATGCTGCATCACGTGACTGCCTCCCCTGCCCCCCTTGCACACTGAAGGAGCCTCGTCATTACATCGGGCTGCACCTGGATAATTTAGGGAGCCCTCCCTACCTGAAGGTCAGCTGGCCGGCGGCCTTGATTTCCCCTTTGCCATGTAATATTCCATATTCCCAGGTGCCCCCTAACGGTTATTGTTCTGCACCCTGGAGGGCATGGCCCCGACCACCTCATGCCCACCGTGTGTGGCTCAGGCCGCAGGTGCTCTGGAGATTTGCCCGGGTGCAACTCTGGGTCAGACTGGCACGGAACGAGGTTGGAGAAGAGAGGAGAGTCTGGGGTCCACCTCTGGGCCCAGCCTGAGCCCACATGGGCCCCATGGGAAGGAAGAGGGATGAGGCCTTGTGGTCCGGCCTTTTTCATAGGGGCCAAATTTGGAAACATTGTAAACATCCAACAGAGCAAATGACGAGGAATGACGACGCCGTCCGTGGTTCGGTCGTTTAGAACGTGGCGTTAGATTTGTAATGACACGAGGAAATGATTATGTTTTTTTATTATTATTATTATTATTTTTAATGTTTATTTATTTTTGAGACAGAGAGAGACAGAGCATGAACGGGGGAGGGGCAGAGAGAGAGGGAGACACAGAATCGGAAGCAGGCTCCAGGCTCTGAGCCTTCAGCCCAGAGCCCGACGCGGGGCTCGAACTCACGGACCGCGAGATTGTGACCTGAGCTGAAGTCGGACGCCCAACTGACTGAGCCGCCCAGGCGCCCCGGAAATGATGTTACAATATTTGGTGGGGGCAAGAAAGGAAGCTAATGACTATTTTACAAAAAAAAAAAAAAAAGACACAGAAAAAACAAGGGAATGAAATATGCCCAGAAATTGTCCCTCAGTGCTGGGCTCTGAGAAAGTGATACCATGTCCTTCTCTACATCCGTCTGTGTATTTGTTTTAACTTGGATTTCAACTCTGAGCCAGGAAGTGTGTGTGCGTGCAGGCGAGCTGGTGTCTGGGGAGCATGGAGACAGCTTTGGCACCCCACGCTGTTTGAATGACGGCAGGCGGGAGGTGGAAGTCGCAGTCACCCCTGGCTTTTGTCATCTGGCTTCCCCGGGGTCTGAGCGGGCGGCCACCTCCCTAGGCAGCCGTCACTTGTACGGTTCCCGAGCGCAGGCACACGTGTGCGGATTCCGGGCACGTCGCTGTCACACGCCTGGGGGTGTATGCCCTGCATGTGAATCAGCCCACAGACTAGAACTTTATTTTCGATGGCCCGTCTCCATTTGTGTTTCTTGCCTCTTCTCCGAGGGCCCCCGTGAACGTCGTAACTTTAGGGCCGCCTCTCCCTAGATCACACCGAGGTTCCCGAAAGCTGTTTTCTGCAGGGCCGAGGTAGGAAGGGAGGGACATGGTGGCTTCCGACCGCCGTGATCTCCTGCTGTGCCTGGGTGGCCCGTGGCCTGGGGGCCATGTCTCTTGCTGAGACAGTTTTGCATGAAGGCAAAAATTATGCTTTTTTTTTGCCTAAATGTTCATACGTGATGTTGGTCTTTAATTGTCTTTTCTTACACTCTCTCTGCTCTAAGATTATTCGGCTCTTGGAAAGTGAGCTGGGCCACTCTCTCTTTGCCTGGAACGGTTCGTTTAATATCTGGTCCTTGAAGTCTTAGTAAAACTCGTGTGTGCATTTGATTATTGGTTTATACAGATTTGCTATTGGAACAGATTCTGTTTTTTTGTTTTTTTTTTTACGTTTTTATTTATTTATTTATTTATTTTGAGAGTGCGAGAGAGAGAGAGAGAGAGGGAGAACGGGGGAGGGACAAAGAGAGAGTCCCAAGCAGGTTCGACTGTCAGCACAGAGCCTGACACGGGTCTCGAACTCACAACCCCGAGATCGTGACCTGAGCCGAAATCAAGACTCGGACGCTCCACCGACTGAGCCACCCAGGCGCCCTATAAATGGTTGTTTTCAAAGTGACCCAGAGATTAGATCCCTTCCTTTAGATCTCGCTTCTGTCCGTTCATCCAGTTGTGGCCCAAAACTCGGGAATGACTGACAGTGGTACCTAGAGATGAGGGGTCACGACGTCATCTTCCCAGCAGGTGACGCAGCGATTTTCCCTTCCCTGGCTGAGAGCAGCCCAGACCACAAGCGGATGGCTATTTCTGCCATTGGACAGATGAGGAAACCAAGGCACGGGGAGGGGCAGTGCCCTCCATTGGGGGCAGCGCTGGGGCCCTCAGGCCACTCCGCTGCCCAGCCCACAGCCTCACGTCTTTCTCCAAAGCAGTGGAAGTCTTTTGTCTGCTAGTCAGTATGACCGGGTAACCATGGAAACAGCTTCCGTGATGCCTCAAAATAGACAGTTACTTCTGCTTTTGACAGCACAGGGTCTGCGCTCCGCTGGGGCACGGGAGTCCCTGGAACAGGCGAT